ATCAACACAGTTAGAAAATCTCGCACCCGGAGGCGTGCTTCAGCTTCACCACACTAAACTCTAAAGTAACACTCCTTCTTGTATGTCAGATACAAATCATTTTAGTTATTTTAAGGATGTCTTTCAATGCAAAATTTTGAATATCATTTTATAATATTTTGTTTATAAATACTGTTTTAAAACTGTCCCCTACAACAATATATAGCACTGAATAACCTTTTGAATTACTAGATAGATATGTGTAATTTTTATTGTAAAATCTTCAATATATATTGATTTAGACTCTAGAATACTTCGGACTTGTAACCTCCAAGTAAAAAAACTTGTTGAATAATAAGATGTTATTTTTCAAAAATATTTAATCGAAATATTACAATGCATGTATTTGAATAAATACGTGTGGTGGTGGATGAAAACGACAACTATTTCACATGAAGGAGTCAAACCAGCTAAGAAACTCTTATTCATCTGTAGATTGATCTTTATACATGACACGATATGTGGTTTATAATCATAATTGGCTTTATGTCCAGTGGCAAACATTTCATATATGCTCAATAAGTTAGCAAATCAAATTATTCATTTATTTATGGTCTTCAAAAATAGACGATCGCGGAATGAAGGGCAGGAAATTAAGACTTCAAACGTTATAGCAGGATTGTTAAGTATGTGTGTGGATTTGCCTTGCAGAAAGATAAATGCTCTCCGCAAACAAGGCTTCAAATTTAAAGTTGACATACTGTTGCCTCGTATTTATGCATCCGATATACCAAACAGCTAATGTACAGCCGCTTCAATAAGGGTCTTACATCCATCCGAAAAACCTGGGCAAACAATTTGGTTTAAAAAGGGATAGTATAGCCATGCATATTTTTAATTCAAGTTACAAAATGTTCAAGCTTAGAAATAATACATCTGGGTTAAAAACAGCTAGATTCTATACAACTTTCTTTAATCTATATATAATATATATAATTTGAAAGGAACTTTAAGATTTTCAGGGAGATATAGTTTTAAAAATGATATTATTATGAATGAACGCTGTAACATGTAAATCTAAATCACATTAATATAAACTGTATCGTGGTAAAAAAATCTTAATTCAACTTGATAAATGTTGTTAGATTTTAAACATATATTTGCAACACTTTGACATACGCCTGGTTCAAATAAGTGCAGCAATTTTTCAATTTCGAAATGAATTTAGTGAGTGGTTTAGTGTTAATTGATTGGAAGCATTTATGTAACTTTCTAAGACCCCGTTTACACTTATAAAAAAGATCGATCATTCTTGAGATCGATCTTAAAAAGATCGATCCTTAGTCTAATGTAAACGGGAAAGGTCGATCTTCAATCAGACTTAAAAAGTCCACCTCCAGAGGTGGTTTTAAAAAGATCGATCTTATTTGAATCGATCTTTCGTCAAGTGTAAGCGCTAAGATCGATCGCGATCGATCTTTCTTCAAGTGAATGTTATAATTAGATATGAAAATAAATCTGCGCATGTTCGGCGGCAAAAACACACGTGTTTAAAAACGATGGATGGGAAAAGATTCCGCCGTTTTTGGATCATTCTTCTGAATCGATATATTCTAGTTCTTTGCTGCAAATCCTCATCTTCAAAGGCTTTGGCAGTTTGTTTTTAAGTGATAGTCTTCTCGCATTTCTTTGTTTAATGACTTGTGACGTGTAAACCAAAAGATAATTGATAACTGCATATGAAATTCAAATGATCCAACTATTTTCTCCATAATTTTGCAGTGTGTGATAGTCTGCGCGAAATACACTCGTTATTATTGAATGTTGAATCAAATGCTTATTATAAATATTATACTTGTTTCCTTCAAATTTAATCAATACTGAATGGTAATAACTGAGGACAATCAATAACAAGCTTTTATAGCCGACCATAGGGTATGTTTTTTTCTCATTGTTGAAGGCCGTACGCGATTGCTTTTAATTTCTTACATCCACTTCATTTGGGCTTTGATGGATAGTTGTCTCTTTGGCAATCATACCACATCTCCTTATTTTTATTTTGTTTGTATCCATATTATTTTAAGATAAGACATGATGTTGTTAATTCTTTTTTGCTTGTTTTGCTTATTTTCATTTTAATTTTTCGTTAAATCATTTTGACTTTTCTTTTTCGTCTTGTTTTAATTTTGTTTTTGTTTTTGTTTTTTTTTTTTTTTTGGAAAAGGGGGGGGGGGGGATAGTTTATTTTTTCAACATTTTTTACAAAACCTGGACCATTCTAATTTTTAAAATAGAAAAATTTTACGTCGCATGTATTGCATATTTTGTTTGAATTCCATTATAATAATATATTTTTCTTTAAAGGAAAGTTTTATTGGTTGAGTAAATAAATTATTTATACTTAACTCTTACTATTGCATTACAATTTTTATTTTAAAGTTATGTGAATTCAAGTGTTCAAAATATCCTGTACAGTACCTCAAACTATTTTTTATAAACAAAGGGAATGGACCCTTATCAGGTATCTATAATGACAATATTTCATGAAGTTAGTTTTCGAGCCAATCTGTGTCGTATTTGAGCAAGTAAATATGTATTCGAATTAATTATCTGATTAATTGACAACAATGGATCGTGAATAACGCAACCATTACGTTCGTCAGTGTAAATTTGTTAACAGAAATTGAAAGTTTAACTGACTGCATGATGATGTGAACAGTGAATAAATCTAACGTTACGGCGCTTTTTTGGTTCTTTTAATGCTGGACCTTGCCGCCTTTGACGCACTGGCGTTTCGTCAATTCGTAACACATTTACATAAACTGGACATTGTTGTAAAGATGATATGCTGTAGATTGCGAGGAGCGATGGATCCTTGGAAAATATGTGAACATGGGGTATCTTTTCGGGGGAAAACTCAAAATTTTGTTGATTTTCTTCAAAATTAGACACCTTGTTGACGAAATTGGATTAGGATACCTACAAAATTTTACTGTTCTCAACTTCAGGATGATGCATGCAAAAATTTGATGTCTCTTTACGTTTCTATAAATAGCGCGAGGTCCCGATAAGATAGTAAATTGTTGCATATGATAGCGGAAAATAAACGTTGTGGATAATATTACCGAGTTTAACATTATTATGAAATATAGATACGAAAAGGTAAAGTCTATAACTTTTAGCCTAGTTTGAAGAGCTAAAGTTCATGTTTCCTGTGATATGTTATTTTTAACTGACATTGAATGAAAAAGTTTTTTTTTTTTTGTAATTTTACCAACGTCGATAACACCAATTATGCATTACGGCAGATATGAGTTTATTGACGTGACGTTCCCACAGAGTCCCTATGTATAGTCAGCTACATAAAAAGCTGTAACCCACCATTTTTTCTCGGAAAATGCCTGTATCAACTCAGGAATATGACAGTTGACTTTTAACTTCTTCAGTTGATGGGTTCGGTTTGATTTGGTCAATTTTTATAGTCTTCCCCATTTTGAAATTACATTGGACTTTTTTTTTTGTATTTTTCTATATTCTTATACTTACAAACAATCAATCAAACTTTAAAATAATTGATAAAACGTTCTATTTATCAAAACTCTGGATCTTTCGCCACCAACGTTCAATGTGTGTATTCTGTTTAAAACGCTATCACTGTATATACCGTCATATTCATACTTTTGTAAATTTTTGCTAGTCTAATACTATGGAACCAAAAGTTGTTTTCAGTGAATTAAGAGGGTAGCAAGTGAATTTATTTCTGATAAAGTTGTTCTACATATTCGTTATAACTATTTAACATAGAACTAATAGACATATAGAAGTGAACACAGCATATTGCCCACTTGATGTCTTTAGATTATTTTCATCGTTGGGTGGCTGTCGTACTGACGTATACCCCACATCTCCTTTTATCTATAATTGTGTAAAATATGATGAGGTGTTTCAATAGTTTGTTTCACGTGTTAAGTTCTTATACATCCCTTAATGACTTTCAATTGTTTGGGTTTGAACTCTTAGGACGCACGAAATTAATAAGGTGTCATTTTGATTTTCTTACCGTCTTGTATTCATATGAAGATTTGATAGGACGCTAATACAAGTATTGTTTCTGGTTTCCAAATTGACCATCATAAATAACCTTTTTTCAGTGCAGAGAGACTAGGTATAAAATCTTGATCCGTTTTTTTTCTCTCACCTTTTCGGGTCGATTCGACTTTACCTCACCTGGCTCAAAATTCAAGTGCAAGCATTCGCAATCAGTTGTTATCAATCGCCCATCCATGATCCGTGTGTAAGCTTTAATAAGTACTATTTTAATGGTTGAAGTAAAGCTTTGAAATAAAAAAGAATATGTAGCAGTTACATGGTGTGTCATCTTATTACTTGAATTACAAATTGCTGGAAAAATATCAGTAGTGGATTTTAGCATGTACAAATGTATGCATCGTTCTGTAAAAAAAATTGTCAGATTTTAAATCTAAGATTCTTATTCTCACCCTTTAAAAATAACAGCAATTATAAAGAAAGGTGAATTTTACGGATGGCTTTTTTTCAATTTTTCTCAACATTCCCACGATATATAAAAAGAACAAAATATATCATTCAACTGTAAATATTTGACTGGTTGAGAATTTCCGAAGTAACATCTATATTTAACTCTGCCAGGCAAAGGGTAAAGCCCAGTTTTTCTAATATATTTATGTTTCCCTTGTCTTCGGTAGATATGAAGCTTTCTAATCATTGTGTTTTTCCGGGGCAATCTTTTTTTAGGGGTTAACTAAATTTGACAAAGAAATTAATGTTTTATTCCACTACTCGTTAAGTTTATTAAACAAAATAAACGACCAGTACAATAAAACAATTTATCCCAAAAAAGTTGAAAATAAGATTAAACATTGCATTTTCTTGCCAGCTAACCGATTCAGGCTTTACAAGGCATCTAGTTTAACTTTTATTATGTAATTTTTCGCAATAAAAAAAAGTTGAAAAAGTAAACTAAAGTGTCTTTCGTTTTTCAGTTTTATATGGCGTCATCCGTACCGATATGCGATATTTGTATGACAGATAACATAACAAAATCTGCCTCCGTTTGGTGTTCAGAATGTGAAGAAGCCATATGTAATAAATGCGAAAGACAACATGGCCGCATGGGTTTATCAAAGAACCATAAACCAATACCTATAAAAGATTACCAGAAACTGCCAAGTTCTGTTGCTGCAATCATACAGAAATGCATGCGTCACAATTTAAAATTCGACTTCTATTGTGTAATTCACAACGAACCATGTTGTGTGTCTTGTGTTTCAGAGGAACATGGTATCTGTCAAAAATTGAAGCCATTATCGGAAGTAGTGGAAGGAGCAAAGTCGTCTGCTGCATTTGCAGATTTAGAAGATAGGGCAAAAGACATCAGCGCACTTATTGGCAATCTGATAACTGAGAAACAAAATAATCGAGCATCTTTTGGAGTTCAGAAAAATAAAATCATTTCTGAAGTGCAAAATATCCGAGCAGCAATAAATGATCATTTAATTAAACTAGAAAAAGATCTTTTGGATAAGTTGGACAACATGGAGAAAAAACAGATCGGAAATATTGATAGTTTTATTAAAAAGCTCTCAGAAATGCGCACAAAAGTTGAAAACATCAGTGGTGATTTGGAAAAAACTAAGCGACACGCGTCAAATTTCCAAGCTTTCCTTGGTATACACGAATGGAATAAAAGAATTGAGATAGAAGAAAAAGATTGGATGTCCTTACAAACCGATCAGAAAATGAACCATTGTGATATTTACATAAAATGTTCACCGACACTTATGAAGTTCGAGAAAGACGTCACAGAATTAGGGAAAATAGAAGTGAATTCTTCGTCATCAAAGAAAACTCTTCTTAAGAAGGAGAAGCAGGGACAGATTTATGTTCCTATTTCTAACACTGTAGATAACATTAAATTGACAAATATCCGCTCATTCTACATGGCAGATGGAACATCCAACAAAACGCTTATAACAGGTATCGATATGTTCGACAACGGGAGAATCGTGTTTGCCGATCAATCGTTAAACAAAAGACTTGTTATCATGAACCAAGAAGGCGAGCATATCAAAAACGTACAAATTGACGATCAATGTTTAGATGTGACAGTAATAGATAAAGACAGAGTTGCTACAACATTACTTTTTGCAAAGAAATTTGTTATTGTTGATTTAAACTCATCGAATGTACAAAGGACTATACCTACGGAAGACGACTGCCACGGTATTTTTAGTACAGGCGAACAATTAGTCGTGAGTCTCTACAACCAGATCATTCAGTTCTTTGATCTTTCTGGTAATACCTTGGCAACGTTGTCGACAGCTGATAACTCCCTTCATTGTTCAGTGCTGAATGACAAACTTTATTATACATCACACCATAGGGATGCTGTCTTCTCGACTGAGTTGAGTGGAGAAGTTCGTTGGAAATTCAACTGTCGGAAATCAGCTTATCCGACCGATATAACTAACGATGCTTCTGGAAATACTTTCGTAGCGTGTAGGGATAATAATCAATTGGTAGTAGTAGGACACGATGGGAAGGAATCAAGAGTCCTCTTGACAAAAAAAGATGGATTGCAAACACCTAGAGCAATACACTACAACTGTAAAACCAACACACTCGTTGTGTGTAATTTTTTAGGACAATGCTTCCTATACAAAGTTACAAACTGAATATTTTGTTAATAATGCAGAGAATATAGCTTTTGTATTCTATGTACAATTATATAAATTTCAGACAAATAGCAGCATGACAAAATACTTATAAAATATGATTAGTCTGGGCAGTGTCAAAGGTGTTAAACAGAAGATAGGAGACAATGTGACTGTCACTATGATTTCATGAGAAGATGGATTAGATAATTTAAGGTCAAGTCTTACTTGGGTACTATATAAAGTGAATAAAAATATTGAAATCAGAAGTTTGAATTTAATTATGAGTATTCGGTGCGATTTTTTCTTTGACTTTTCAAAGACATATTTTCTTTTTCAATGACTGGTTATCTAAAAAGGTATTTCACAAGATGACTACAAAAATACTCTCACTTGTACAAGATATTTAAGGAAAATCAAGTGTTCAGCAATTTATTACTCAATAACAGTTTGCTCTTTTTTTGAAGTTTGCACTTTTATGGAAATATTTAAGTGTTAGCGTTTGTTTTGATTAAATTTGTTAGATTTTGGATATTTTGTTTTTGTTCTTGTTTCAGCTATTTGTGTTATGGGTGTGTCTTCCTGTTTTGCCGTACTGGTGAAACAGGTATGAAGAAAAAAACTTACACCAAGTTCAAGTGCGTACATACACAGTACATCAATAATATAACTTGAAAAAAGATATAATGTAAGTTTAAAAATACAAACTTAAATCGCATTTTGAATCTAATATAATAATGATTTTGTTTTTTGAAAATTAGCCTTTTTTTTCTACAAATATGGTTTGAGTCTTTGTTTTAAAAATTGTAAACACAATTGAAACTAGTACTGTAGCATATTTATAAAAGTTTTGTAAACCTTCCACAACAAGTGAAACTGCGAGCTACTGCTCACTGATGATATATATGTAAGTGTTCGGTAAACAGGAAATTGTTGAGTGATGAATCTGAAAACGCATCGCACGGTATAGCTGACTTATATAAACCCTGAAACCAAATTTCAGAAATCCTTGTCATGTAGTTCATGAGAAAGATGCGGCAAAAAGTATTCATGGGATGGACGGACGGTCTGACGGACTGAAGGACTGGCGAATGGACGGACGGACAGACAGAGGTAAAAAAAGGGAGGGGGTATAATAAAGTACTGTGGATTCATTATTATTCGTTGGGTACCAATTTTCGTGGGTTTCGTGGGTACAAGTAAACCACGAATTCAAATGTTCAACGAATTACAAATTTTCCATAGACTTTGTATGCTGAGATTGACAAAACAACGAAATCAAATATCCACGAAACTGCAAGATTTCCTCGATCCACGAAATTTGATACCCACGAAAATAAATGAATCCACAGTATAAGAAATCGAGATTATTACGGTACCCATTGTTATGTCCCACTATTTGTTATTGCTATATGATTGTTGACAGTCTTTGTCAGACTTACTTTTCCAAAAGTTTTCTTTAGTTAGCTTAAGAAAAGATGTACTTTATCATATACAAAAGGGGTCATATCTAAATATTACAGGAGTCATTTGATTTCATTTAAATTCATTGAAATAACAACGGCGCACAAGCTGAAATGACTAGCCTTCTTAATTGAGAATTGTAAGCTGAAAGTTTTCAGGATCGAGGTCTTACCAATGATATCATATACAGGTAGTATCTTCGACAATTCCTCTTCTTATCTCTTCCTAAAATTTGATATAATTCACATATGACTTTGTGTTGTGAAATGTGCTAGACCGGTAGTTGAAACGTTGACCCGCACTGAACACCGACGTCATATGGTTTGTCATGACGTTGATAAGTTTGACTTCAACTTATCTCAAACATTATACGTATTCGCTGAAAAAGAACCCTGTTGTTTCTATAATGAAGAACACCCATATTGATATTGTAAAATACTAGATGTTTGACACAATGCAAACATGAATCCATTCTGAACTCGTTCCCTACGCACACCTAAAAAATGATTCATATTTTGAGTCACAGTTGATATTTAACAGTAGCAATGTGCAATAAACCCGAAAATCCGTTCGAACATTGTATATTCAAGTTCGCTCCTGACACGTGAAATCCACTCTGTTCAATCCGTTGAATAAATTTCCCCAAGATAGCATTCAAAGATGCGCGATAAAATTAACGCCCGACGTCCCTTAGTTTGTCTGTTATGCGGCCATAGTACATGTAACTACTAATTGGTTAGAGTTTTTAAAAGAAGATCGGCATCTCAAAGAACTGATGTGTACCCCACATCTCCTTTTATCTATATTTGTGTAAAATATGATGAGGTGTTTTAACACTTTGTTTCACGTGTTAAGTTCTTATACATCCCTTCATGACCTTCAATGTTTTGAGTTTGAACTTTTCGGACGCACGAAATTAATAAGGTGTCATTTAAATTTTCTAACCATCCTGTATTCATATAAAGATATGATAGGAGGCGAATACAAATATTGTTTCTGGTTGTCAAATTGACCATTATAAATAACCCGAGTCGTTTTCAGTGCAGATAGAATATGTATAAAATCTTAATCTGTCTCTTTTCTCACCTATTTAAGTCGATCCGACTTTAGTTCACCAAGCTCAAAATCCAAGTGCAAGCATTCGCAATCAGTTGTTATCAATCTTCCATCCAAGATCCGTGTGTAAGCTTTAATTTGTACTATTTTAATGAATGAAGTATAGCTTTGAAATAAAATAGAATATGTAGCAGTTACATGGTGTAACATCTTATTACTTGAATAACAACTTGCTGGAATAACATAAGTTAACAAGCAGTGGATTTTAGCATGTAAAAATGTAGCGATCAATGCTTGTAAAATGCATGCAACGTTCTGTAGAAAATAATGTCAGATTTTAAATCTAAGATTCTTATTCTCACCCTTTAGAAATAACAACAATTATATAGAAAGGTGAATTTTACGGCTGGCGTTTTTTTCATTTTTCTCAGCATTCCCACAATTTATAACAAAAGCAAAATATATCATTCCATTGTAAATATTTGACTATTTCAGATTATCCGAAGCAACATGACAAAACTACATCATACTCTCCTCTGAACACCAGAACAAAACAAGCGATAAGGACCATGAAAACAATTTATCTTTCTATCTTTGAAGCAAGCTAAAACTATTGCAATGAGACGACATTCATTGGACATTTTTCTAAGAGCAGTAAGAAAGCTAAATCGAGGTCGACCTCCTGTTGCGGCTTTTGACCAAACACTTTTCACAGTAGCAAAATTAGTACAATGGAGCTGGCCTCGGATGTATAGTAGTTGGCTTGGAGGTAGTGGACGGACTAGTGGTTTAGAAAATTCCCACGTTACTTCATCCGGTACAGTAGATTCATTCTTGAGGACTTCTCATTTTACAAAATCATGTAGACCACACCAAGTTACAGCATGCACACTTTACCGTTTTTTGTCAAACAATTACTGACAGTACGCAGATTCTTTGAATGATGATAAGGTAATCTAAGAACTTGAAAGGTGGTGTTTGGACAGATCTAAATAATGTATTCATTTTAAATTATGGTATGTTATCCTGCGATTTGAATTGACAGTATTGGTATTTGTAGGGTATAAATGTGAGACTACCTTCTTTGTATATCTAAAAGCTCTCGCTAAGATTATCCCTTGGTTCTTTGAGCTCAATCACACCAACTATTCACGATGGTGCCAATTCCTCAACGTGACATGCTTCATTTATCAAAATTGAATCAAGAAATTCACAAAGCATTCGTTGACAGAAATTGTGTGGTTAACAAGACAGAGAAGAAGTTTTCTTGTATGGCTATTGACCAAGCCCACGAACAAAATAATACGTGTGCTAAAACAGATGGTGGTGCTGTTGGATTAAAGTGAAATCTAGAAGCACTTGGTAGATGAATGTTTGCTGGGGTTAAAATGCCTAGGTTGAAAAATGATCTGAAAAACAGTCCTGAATGTTTTGTGAACACTATTGAAACTTAGAAATCCGTTTTCAGAGACTTAACTAATATTTCAGTTCATTGATTATGACTTGCTCTAGGAACATCGAAGTAGAAAGACTTACCATTGTTACATACTTTCACTGGTTGTGGCACAGTGTCAGTTTTTTTCAGAAGGATAAGATTTCAGCTTTGGACATATGGTCCATATGTGAGGAATCATAAGAAGCATTTGTGCAAATTATTCAAAATACAAATAAAGTGGAAATTTTAAAAGTAATAAAAGTAATAGAAGGGTATTTTGTGCTTTTGTGTGGTCGGTCCGGTTCATTTGATAAAGTGAGTGAATTAAGAAAAAACTTTCACTCAGAAGACAAGAACAATTATTGAAAATATTTCTTCTACACGAGATGCACTACTATGACACGGGAAACGTGAAGCTTACCAAGTAAGTGGTTTTTGGTGTTATTTGTTAGTCGCAAATCCTGGTATGCCATCACCAGATTCATCTGGTTGACAAACACCTGATGATACATGATTGCCATTCTGGTCAGTGCTTGCAAAAGCTACGATGTCATGTTAAGA